ATAGTTTAATAGCTTAAAGTTGTTTTTACAATATTCTGTTTTTATTTTAGGATATGTACTGATATCCCTTTTTTCATTTATGATATTATTCATTCGTATTATCTATCCACCCATCCCTCTTTGGGAAAGCGTTAGGGGAAACAGTCTTGCTAAGAATTTGCCAATTTTGTCAATCATCTCAAAAAAACCAATTATTGTCATTCTGAATTTTCTAACATTTTACATTTACTGTTTCACTTATCCCTGTTAATTCCTTGATGAGTATTGTAATTATTATTTTAGTTCTACCTCATTTGGGTTTAATTTACTGTTTTCCATTTAACTTCTTTAGTTAGATATAAGCTACTATCATGGATTGAAATTATTTTTTTCTATTATATACCTTAAAGGAGTCCTTTAAGCCCAACAGGTTACGTGTTGGGCTGCTAACCACAAGGTCAGCAGTTCTAATCCACCAAGTGCTCCATGGGAGAAAGATGAGGCTTTGTAGTCCCACCTTGGAAACTCTAGACAGGGTCACTCGCTGTGAGTTGTAACTGATGTGAGGGCACGCAGCGGCTGCAGCAGCATATGCCTTACTCTGTAGCACTGCTGTACTTATATCACACAAGTGTCAATATGCTCTACTTTTATCATATTCAGTTCAAAATATTTTCTCATTTCCATTGTCATTTTCTTCTTCTTTAACAGATTATTTACAACGAGACTCTTCAATTGCAAACATTGGGGGTTTCTTTCTAGTATAGATTTCTACTTTTATTCCACTGTCAGAAAACAAATTTTATATTGCTTCAGTTTTTCAAAATGTATGGAGACTTACTTTATGGACTAGCACCATGCCTCCTGTGGCACCTGTTCCATGACTATGGGAAAGAAATGTGTATTCTTCAATTGTTGCGAGTAACATTCTGGATGGATTAGTTCAAGGTGTTCGATCAAACTGTTCAAACTGTCCAATACTCTTACTGATTTGTTTTACTTGATTATTCTTTTACTTACTTAGAGTCCTGTATTAAAATATTCATTATTACTGTGGATTTGTCTATTGGCCCTTTTAGTTCTGCCATCTTTTGTTTGATATCTTTTCAGAGTATGTATCAGACATACAAAAATGTGAAATGCTTATGTTTTCCTGTAGAACTGACTGATCAGGTTTTCTTGTGGAACTGACCTTCTTTAATAAAACTTCTGCCTTACGGCTTATTTGTCTGATACTAATAAAACTACACCAAGCTATCTTTTACTTCTTGTTTATATTGTTTATATTTTTCCATCTTTTAACTTTCAAATTTTTTGTTCCTTAATTCTTATATTCAATGTGTTCAGAAACAAAGATGAAGGATCAGAAGTTGGAAAATATGGCTGTGGTGACAGAAATGATGCAGATCACATGAAAGAATTTTGTAAGGCCAATGACTTATTCATTGCAAATACCTTTTTTAAACAACATAAAAGGTTAAGTATACATGTGGACCTCACCAGATGGAATACATAGGAATCAAATTGACTATATCTTGGGAAAAGCTCAATATCATCTGTCAAAACAGGGTCAGGGGCAGACTATGGAACAAACCACCAACTGCTTTGTTATTTTTATACAACTACACGCTGAAGTTGAAAAAATGAAAAGAAGCTCATGAAGACCAAAATATGACCTTGAGTATATCCAACCAGAATTAAGAGAGTATCCTAAGAACACATTTGGTGCATTAGTCACTAATGACTGAAGAACAGAAAAGCTGTGGGATGACATCAAGAACATCATAAAGGCAAAAAAAAAACAAAGGTCATTAAGAATGGAAAGAAAGAAAAGACCAAAATGGATGCCAGAATACTGTATGAAACTTGGTCTTTAGCACAGAGATGTTAAAGTGAACGGAAGATGTTCTACATGCATGGTTCTTCAGGACCCTGGTTCAAACACCTCCCAGGGGCTGTGTTATCCTCTGCCCCAGAAGAAGGTTGTTGTTGTTGTTAAGTACCTTCGAGTCAATTCTGACCCCAAGTGACCCTGTATAGGGTTTCTGAGGAGCAGTTGGTGAGCTTGCACTTCCGACCTTGCAGTTCAAATGGCTTTGCAGTCTGGCGCATTAACCCACAGCACCACACCTGTCCTTGAAAACTATGCCTACTGTACTGGGTAATCCAACCCAGCCTGTAAAACATCTTACAAGGAAGTAAAACACAGATGTTTTATGGGTGGTCTTCCTTAAGATATGCCCCATTTTACAAGGGGGTAAAACATGGAATTTTTATGCATGGTCTTACTTGATGGCATGTTCCAGGGTGTGGCTGCTAAGCTATGGTGCTCTGAGCATGCCTTACACATCGTCACAATTGCTCAAGCAAGCAAGCCTCAAAATTCCTTAAGGATTCTGTCACTGCAATCAGTAAATGGTTCATATTAATTCTGGACCCTCTTTTCTTCCTGCCTCACGATGACCATTTCTTCATTGTACACAGTTCCTCTTTCTAAGTCAACTTAATCCCTCTGCCTCATGTTAGTAATTCATCTCCCAAATCTCAAATTCCCAACTATGTATCTGCAATCTGAATTACTTATCAGCAAAAAAAGAAGGCGCCGCCCAACAAGATGAATTAGCACAGTGGCAGCAGTAATGGGCTCAAACACAACAATTGTGAGGATGGCACAGGATTGGACAGTGTTTTGTTCTGTGGTGCATGGAGTAACTATGAGTCGGAACTGATTTGAAGCACTTAACAACAACACCCATCATTAGGCAGGCATTTTAGTAGGAAAAGAAAAATTCATCCTAGGTCACAACACTGATGAAATGCTACTTTTCAGGTGTCACCTCCCCTCTTACTGAGCTGGTAATCTGTCTGACCCCTGATGTCACCTTTGCTCCAAAACAAGTCATCCCTGTTGAACCTCAACAATTAGAATCAGATCTCAAAGATAATTATCTCTAAATCTCAACATACAATTTTCTCTGTGAAAGAGTTAATCAGCACTCATAATTTCTAGTGATTTCTACCTGAATCTGGTTCCAGGCTTCAAACAGTATTGTTACTGTTAAGTGCCTTTGAGTCGGTTCTGAACCATTGCGACACTATAAAGGGTTTCTGAGGAGCAGGCCTGCAGTTCAAACCGACTTTGCAGTCCAGGGCATTAAACCACAGCACCACAGCATAAGGAAGTATAAGTAGGATTTTTGAAATCACAGGTCATCAATATTTGCACACGGTTTATATATTTATCACAGGCGGGGAGACAAACATCATTTGTATTTGGGTATAAAACATTCAGATTCCTATATACCCACTGCTGTCCATTTGATTCCGACTCATCCCCATTGCCACTGAGTCAATTCAGACTCACAGTGGCCTTAGAGGGCAGCGTAAAACTGCTCCCTGGGCTATGAATCTTTAAGTGAGCAGAAAGCCTCATCTATCTCTCATGGAGCAGCAGATGGGTTTGAACTGCTGACCTTGCAGTTAGCACCCCAATGTGTAACCCAATGCACTACCAGGACTCCTCTGACTCATAAGGTCCCCATATGGTGGGGGGGGTTGTTGTCAAATGCCATCGAGTTGGTTCAGAGCAACTCTGTAAAGGGTTTCCAAGGAGTCACTGGTGAATTTGAACTGCCAACTTTGAGACTGGATTAGCAGTGCTTTTCCTACAGCGTCACACCAGGACTCCATTATATACGGTTCCCATAATCTCAGGGTTATACTACTTCTAGCATTGTAGGAAGGAAAAAGTATGATTCAGAAACCAGGAAAATGGGAAAGTAATAAATTTTCAACAACCCATGTTGTGACTCCAGCTATCAGGACACATGTGGCAGCTACATCAAAATAATATAAACAGATGGCTAGGAGCCATATCCTTGTTTTCCAATTTCAGAATACAAAGGGCTTCAAAAGTCCATGCAAAGATTCCATTATCTTTCAATACCATTTTCCCACAAACTTTGTGAAGCTCCTACACATACAAATGATCCTGTTATTGTTAAGTGCCATCAAGTCAGCTCATACTCACAGCGACCCTGTATAGGGCTTCCAAGGGGCAGCTGGTGGGTTTGAACTGCTGACCTGGTAGTTAGCAGGCCAATTAGAACAATCTAGAGTTATCTTTTCTGATGCAAACGTGAACAGTTCATTTTCCCAATAAACATAAGAACCATTAAGAGACTGGTTTCTATGCCTAGAAGTACCTTCTTCTCAACTCAGGTCTTCTCATCTCTCCACTATTAAGGGTATTTATCAAAATTCATCTATGGGTTTCTTGGCTTTTAATTTTTTTTTTTTTTTAAAGTATTACCACGTCCCTTCCCACACTCAAATCCTGTTGAAAATAACTGCTGAATCATTGCCACTGAGAGTAACAGTTACTATTGGGACCATGCAATATTCCTTGCATTTGCTGAAGTAGAAAACTGCTAACTTAGATGAATCATCTGGCTACATTATTTCCATGATGCCTTATACTGTTTGCAAAAAAACAGTTTTTAAGTTCTGAGGAAAGGATGACTACAAAGGTGAAACTTAAAATAGCTCACTGCTGTGGGAACTCTCATAGTTGTTTCAGAATCCAGGCAAAGTCTTAGTTACTCCTGCAGGGGACATGAAATTACTTGCTCCTATATGCCTCAGTTATAAAGAATAACACATTCAACCATAATAGCAAAGCCACAGGTATTAGTTAGACATAGTTGAAACAGGTCTAATCACACTATAGTTTAGGTACAGAATGAATTACGTAAGGCTTTTGTGGAATCTTTTTATCACTCTGAAAAATACCATCTCTGTGGAAAAATGCACGTCAGCTCTGAACAACTGACTTACAAATTGAGAAATAAACCTGTTGAGCAGTTTGAATTTCTCCAATTCATGTCTACAAAGCAGACAGTAAAATATCATGTTTAAGTAAGTATCAATTTAACCATACCAGTAAAATCTCAGTTTTAATTATACATTTTCTTCTCCTTAATAATTATACTTTATAGAAATCACTTTGAAAAAAAACTTACCTTTTTTTGGGCTATGGCAGCTCGCTGCAATTTCTCCTTCGCTTGATTATACTTTTCTTCTCTGTCTGTGATATGCTCATGAAGTTTATGTTTTTCTTCTAACCACTGTGTCTGTTTCTCTTCCAATGTCCTGTCAGGGAAATGAATGCAAAACACGAAGTCAACATAAAGTCTTAGGTTTAAATAGATGTTATCACAAGTATAAGCAAACTTACAATCAGCCTGACCCCATTATTAATTATCCAACTGCAGCCAGGGATACCTGCATAGTTACTGATTTGCTAATACAAACATTGTTGACCACTTTTTATATGCCAGTCCTGTGCTTCGTTAGAAGAGAATGAGCACTGCATCATCTATTTTTCACACTAGCCTTTTGCGTTAGGTACTTCTATCCTCTGTTTTACAGCTGAAGAAAATGAGGCTTGGAGCCGTGACCTTTCTTAAAGACACACTTAGTTAATGGCAGGGTAAACATTTAATAGCTGGATCTCAACTATGATTGCCACCAACCTATAAAAATTGGGTCTTTGGGTCTCTTACAAATACATCCTACTTTGGTGAGTAGCATCTGGGATCTTAAAAGCTCATGAGTAGCCATCTAAGGTGCAGCTACTGGTGTGCAGTGGCAGAGCGGCTGGTAGAATGAGAACTGAAGAGAGCTGGAGTCAAGGAGTCCAATGGATTAAGGAACATGTGAACATCAGTCTCCATGACTCTGAGAAGAATTAGATGGTGCCTGGTTACCACTACCAACTCCTCTAAAAGGGAGCACATTAGAAGGTTTCATATATAGTGGAATAAATGTAGAACAAAATTCAAAATTATTTTTAAAAAAGACCAAACTTGTTAGTCAGAAAGAGACTGGAGGAACCTGAGCCTATGGCCCTCAACCACTTTTAAGGTCTGGAAAGGAACTCACCCTCATGACACAATCTTTAGCCAACTAGGTAAGTATTATAGGGGATAACAGTACTTGTAAGGTATGCTCAAATAAGAAATAGTCAATGATTCAAGATCAAAGAGCTACATTTTCCTAAGGACAAAGTTGAGAAGGGATGGGAAGGTGGGTGGAATGCAAACAGACACCACAGGGAGGAAGCAGGATCACGGTTGTTCCATGGAGAGGACTGCAATCACTGAGAAGAAACAAACTGTAAAATTTGTTGAATAAGAAACTGATGATCTTGTCTGTAAACCTTCACTCAATTCACAATAAAAAGTTGAAAAAAAACAAAACAAACCAGGACTTTTAAAAGTTAGTTGAAAATTAACCCTAGTATCAAGTTTTAAAGTTATATATTTTCTGCTAGAGTAAAATTCATATATAAATGATATTTTAAGGTAAAATCATAACAACTGGGAGGTATAATTCTGTGGGATAAGCACTGAACTGCTAACTGTAAGGTCAGCTGTTCAAACCCACCAGTCGCTTCTCGTAAACCCTATCCAGGGTTGCTATGAGTCAGACCAACTGAACGGCATTTAATAACAATTTATTTTTGTTAAGGTCCTTAAACATACTTCATATAATTTTTAATGTCCTATATAGTGGTTACAAATCGGGCTGCGAACCTTAAGGCCAGCAGTTCGAAACTACCAGCTGCTCCGCGGGAGAAAGAGGACGCATTCTGCTCCCATAAAGATTTACAGCCTCGGAAACCCTGTACAGGGTCGCTATGGGTCGGAACCGACTCTAAGGCACTTAACAGCAACAACAATATATAGACAATCTACGCTCGAGAGCAAGTTTCAGAGTCTCTTCTGACATCCATTTTGACCTTTTCCTTCTTTCTTGTCTTCTTAACGACTTTTTGCTCTCTTCACATATGATGTTCTTGATGTCACCCCACAACTCTTCTGGTCTTTGGTCTTTAGTGTTTAATGTATCAAATCTGTTCTTCAGATGATCTCTAAATTCAGGTGGGATAAATTCTGAAACTTGCTCTCCAGCGTACAGATGCTAAAGCAAATGGAAGCAATAAGGAGGTCCAAGAGCTGAACAGAAAATTTCAATGATCAGCTCGAGAAGATATAACCAAATATTATAATAAAATATGCAAGGATTTGGAATCAGAAAACCAAAAAGGAAGAACACACTCACCATTTCTCAAGCTTGGGGAACTGAAGAAACAATTCAAGCCTCAACTTTTGTTATTGAAAAATTCTCTGGGGAAATTATTGAATGATGCAGAAGGAATACACAAGAGTCATTGTACCAAAAGGAAATGGTTAATGTTCAACCATTTCAAGAGGTACCATGTGATAAAGAGCCAATGATACTCAGGGAAGAAGTCCAAAGTGCATTGAAGGAATTGGCAAAGAACAAGGCACCAGGAATTCATGGAATAAAAGTGAGGCAGCACAGGAGGCACTTACTCATCTCTGCCAAGAAATCTGGAAGACAACTATCTGGCTGACTGATTGGAAGAGATCTATATTTGTGCCCATTCCAAAGACAGGTGAGCCAACAGAATACGGAGATCACTGGACAATCTCTTTGATATCTCAAGCGAGTAAAGTTCTGCTGAAGGTAATACAGAAATGGCTACAATCATACATTGACAGAGAACTACCAGAGGTTCAAGCTGGATTCAGAAGAGGCCAGGGAATGAGAGATACCATTGCTGATACCTGATGGATCTTGGCTGAAAGCAGAGAATATCAGAAAGATGTTTTATTGACTACACAAAGGCTTTCGATTGTGTGGATCATGACAAGCTATGGACAACATTGTGAAGTATGAGTATTCCAGAACACTTAATTGTGCTTATGAGGAAACTGTACCTGGACCAAGAAGCAGTTGTTCGAACAGAGCATGGGAACACTGAATGTTTTAAAATTAAGAAAGGTGTGCGACAAGGTTGTATTCTTTCACCATACTTATTCAACCTGTATGCTGAGCAAATAATATGAGAAGCTGGGTTCTATGAAGAAACACGTGGCATCAGGATTGGAGGAAGACTCATTAACAACCTGAGATATGCAGATGATACAACCTTGCTTGCTGAAAGTGAAGAGGACCTAAAACATTTACTGATGAAGATCAAAGAGCACAGCCTTCGGTATGGATTATATCTCAATGTTAAGAAAACAAAAATCGTTACCACTGAATCAATAAACAACATTCTTATCAATGGAGAAAAGATTGAAGTTGTCAAGGACTTCATTCTTTTTGGATCAACTATCAACACTCACAGAAGCAGCAGTCAAGAGATCAGAAGACGTACTGCATTAAGCAAATATGCTGCACAAGATATTGTTGAAGAGCAAAGATGTCAGCTTGAGGACTAAGGTGCGCCTGACCCAAGCCATGGTATTATACTTCAATAACCTCAAATGGATGCGAAAGCTAGACAATGAATAAGGAAGATCGTAGAAGAATCGATGCCTTTGAGTTGTGGTGTTGGAGGAGAATACTAAAAGTGCCATGGACTGCCAAAAGAACCAATAGATCTGTTTTGGAAGAAGTGCAGCCAGAGTAGAGTGCTCCTTACGAGGCCAAGATGGCCAAACTTCGTCTCTCATAATTTGGACATACTGTCAAGAAGGAACAGTCACTGGAGAAGGATATCATGCTTGGTAAAATGGAGGGTCAGAGAAAAAGAGGAAGACCCCCAACGAGATGGATCAGTCAAGTGGCATCATTGATGGCGTCAAGTGTGGCAGTGGTAGTGAGGTTGGCCCAGGATTGGACATTGTTTCGTTCTGCTGTGCATGGGGTCGCTATGAGTCGGCTCTGACTCGATTGTACCTAACAACAGCAACAACAACAACATATATAGACCCTAGAAATCAGAATAAAGAATCCTAAGAAGTCATCTAGATCATTTGCCTAAGGTCATATAGATTTTAAGTGTCTCTAAGTGCCTTCAAGTCAGTTCCGACTCCCAGCTAACCTGTAATATGTTTCTAAGGAGCAGCTGGTGGGTTTGAATTGCTGACCTTGTGGTTTAAAATAACCTTGCAATCCAGTTTTACTCACATTCTATAGATCCCTATTCACTTATTTTCCACTATTTAATTTTATGACTAACGTTCAGAAACTAATGATAAAGCATTTATTTCATACTTGCTAGTGCACTGGAATTCCTAAGCACATTTCAATTATACACTTGAAGATTCTAAGATACAAATTTCTACTTTTTGTAAAATATAAGCAAAATACGTTAAACCCTGTAGAGAGTCACAGCACTTTATGGACAAATACCTTACATCCTTTCTTTTCTTAAAATATAATCCCATCTATGAAACTACAGACAAGCCTTAAAATATGAAATTACAGAGAAAAAGGAAAATTTGAAGGGAAAAAGTTTTATGTGTCAAGATGTCCTTCAGAAATGCACATATAAAACGAACAGTATTTGTAAACTATAAAGGCAAAGCAAATTCAAAATAGAGCAGTTTTCTACCACATTCAAACAAGTATTCCAGAGAATGCAAGATACTGAATATCACCAAACACATCTATTCCCTATCAATTTACATATTATCTAGTACTAACAAATTTCAAGATTTAAAAAGAAAAAAAATCTAAATGACCTTTTTAAAGGAAAAGGCTCAATAGACTATAGTTTTAATTTGTTGTTGTTGTTAAGTGTTGTGGAGTCAGTTCCAACTCAGAGTCACCATGAAAAGGGTTTCTGAGGAGCAGCTGGTGGGTTTGAACTGCTGACCTTGTGGTCCACAGTCTAGTGTTGATCCTATAGCGCCACACCAGCAGTCCATAGTTGCAATTTAGGCAGTAAAATATGTCCATCAAAATAAGATATGTCCACCAAAAAATCTAGCCTATTCCTCTGATTGCTAAAAAACAATCTGTTCTGTAGCATTCAGAGGAATAGGCTAGATTTTTAAAGGAATATGTTGGCTTCCTTAGTGATCAGAAAAATTTTTCTTTGAGAGTTTTGAAAATGCTGTGTCCAGACAGAATTTGAAACACCTTCTTCCCAAGATATCTTACTTTTCGTAAAAACAAAAACAAAAACAATCCAAGAACACAAAAAGCCCATTCTACTGAAATGGAAAGTATATTACCTAAGACCAAGGTACACTCTCAAAGGTTATTTGTAACCAATTCCCAAATCACATTTAACTCTGGAATCCTGGCTAAAAGAAGTACACGTAACA